GTGGGACACATGCTATGAATTCTTAACCTTTTATTTTCTCAAAGAGAAACCAGCTTGCATTTGGGCACCAAGAGCAGTCACTTGGCAGTGACAGTAGTTCAAATATCTAAGATTACAACAAAAAATCTACAAATACTCCATAGAAGCGAGATCCTCATTCTAGGTAGTTCATGAAGAAATGATGGAGGAAAACTACATGAAATAAAGTGTGGGCTCAAATTTTAACAACAACAACAACAACAACTTAAAAGAAAAGTTTTCTCCAAATGGAATGAGATGTTTTTGGAGGTTGTGAGTTCTATAGTATTGAAAGCGGTCAAGCAAATGAGAGATGAGCATGTGCTGATGTTGTAGAAAGGGGTTCTTGTACAAGGTAAAAAGTTGAACTACATGCCAAGAGGCAGCTAGGTAGAGCAATGGATCGAATCCTAGAACTGGAGTGAGGAAGATCTGAGTTCAAATCCATCCTTAAGACACTTACTAGCTTTGTGACTCTGGGGAAGTTATTTAAACTCTACCCAAGTTTCCCCATCCATAAAATGGGGGTGACAATATTAGCACAAAATTCCCAAGGTTGTTATGATGATAAAATGAAATGACATTGGTAAAACACTTTGCAAACCTTAAGACACTACATAAAAGTCAGCTATTATTAACTGGCACTTAACACAGTGTCTAGTATATAGTAGGAGCTCAGTAAATGCTTGTTGACTTGACACTTAAAAAGCTAAAATGATGTCTTCAAATGTTATACTTAAGTACATATGGGATATCTATTTAGTGGGGTTATATAAAATAGATCATTTTTAACAATAAGCTTTTTAAAAATATATCATCATAGTTTACCCCAGTATTTCTCCTCCTATTATCTCAAATGAGCCATTCTATGTAAGAGTATTTTTCTTGTGTTTGTTTGTTTGTTTTTTTTAAAGAAGAACTTGCAATGTGCAACAAGTGTCGACCTCCCATCACCTCAGAGCGGTGGATCTGACGTGCTCTCTCATATCTCTTTCAAGTCATGTTTGGTCTTTATAATCCTACAATACTCACTTTTGTTTTGTGTGTGTAGTTGTTGTTTCCATTTACATTTTTGTAGTCATTATGTATTTCATTTTCTTGGCTCTGCTTATTTCACTCTTCATCAGTTCATACAGATCTTCCCATGCTTCTCCATATTCATCATTTTTTACAGCAAAGTAATATTACATTACAATTTGCTTAGTCTATCTTTTATTTCTTTTGTGTTCTCAGTTTTGTTAGCATATAACTGTGCATAAGTTCTGATATTTTTTAAATTTATTTTCATTTTGTTTTGATTTCACCTTGTTCATTTGCTATTTTATTTTTTGCTCTCTTCTTTTTAATCAGATTGGCTAAAGATTTATCAATTTCATTAATCTTTTCAGAGAACCATCTTTTGGTTTTATCATTTTTTGGGGTCTTTTTTGGGGGGGTTCCCTTTATCTATTTGTTCTTTAATTCTTAATATATCTCTTTGGTACTTATTTTAGATTTGGTTATTTGTTGGCTAATTTTTAAAAGTGCATATTCAGTTCACTAATTATCTTATTTCTATTTTGTTAATGTAGCTTTATACAGATAAATCTATTCACTATACCAGTGGTTCTCATTTAGTGGTTTGTGAACCCCTGGAAGGTGAGACCATAGGCCAAGGCGTTCATGCAAAAAATCCTTTATTAACACCTTAAGCATTAAATAACTGACTAATTACATTACACATATTTACCCTCGGTAACAATAAGTATATGCATGTTTAAATGACATTTTATAATTTATAAGTGTAAAATGTAAATTAATATTTTGAATAAATTAATTTTCTTCAAATTTTACAGCAAATTTAGATGGTGGCAAAAGTTATAACTGTAGTTATGGTAAGCACTTTTACAAAAGCTAGAGAGCAGAAAATTTTGAAAATGGTGATATCTGTGATGACTTTTACTTTTTAGTATTTCTCATAACTGAACTGTTTAATTTTACATACTGTCTTTAAAAACACATTAAAAGACAACTAATTGGTTTTTTAAAATTAGCAATTTTACCATCACAGGAATTATTAGCTACATTTAGTAATAATACTCTTGTATTTTCTTTCTTAGTCTCATTTGGAGCACCTTTACCATGGTCATGCCCATTAACCATGAGTATCCCTTCAGGGTTTGCTCTGAGCCCTGTTCTCTTCTCTATCTACACTATCTTGCTTAATGATCTAATCAACTCTCATGAGTTCAATAGTCATCTCTGCAGATAATTCCCGGATCTGCATATCCATCTCAAACTTCTCTCCTGAACTCTAGTCTTCCATCACTAACTTCCTCTTGGACATCTCAAACCGGATGCCCATAGAAATCTTCAACTCAACATAAACAAACAGAATTCATTATCTTAGCCCCATCTGCGTAGCTATCCTGCTTGTGGTCCACTGGACTGCTCCAAGTCTGAGTTAAAATAATCCCCCAAATCTTATTTCAATACTCCCATGAAGAAGCAGTTCTCAAGGCAATTTAAAATGAGTTCAAAAAGATAAAAACAAATAAAAACTGCTGACAAGAAGATTAAAAACAGTCATCAAAGTGGTTGCCTGGGTTTCATGAGCTCTTTACAAGTCCTTTTATAATTTTTACGGATTGCTTTTATAATCAGCTGGAACAAAGTGAACACAGATGGGTCCCAAATTAATTCACCTGTGAACAAACTTAACCTCAACAGTCCCATGTCTGCACCACAACTTTTCTGAGTTTTGTGTAAGTGTGGGTGTTAATGCAAGCCTCCTCAGTTCTACCGGTATCCTAGCACACATTCCCTAAACTTCCCCTCTTCCAAACTTCCCTTTTACTATACATGGTACCATCATCCTCCTAGACATCCAAGCTGAGGTAAAAAAAGCTTTATACAAAAGAGGAGAAAGTAGCAAAAAAGAAGGCAATCTTCACGTCATCTTCAACTTCTCATTCATCGTCACCCCATGTCTCCTCTTGTGTCTCAAGTTTTATAGTGACTACCTTCACGTCTCTTGAATTCATCTGCTTCTCCGCTCTCAGTCTCTTCACCATCTTGAAACAGGCTTTTAGCACCTTTCCCCTGTCAAGAATGTCACCATCCTGTCACCCAGGATTGCAAAGTAGGTGTCATCTTCAACTCCTCTCTCTCACCCAATATATCCAATCTACTGCAAAGGTCTGTGAAATTTACCTTCATAATATCTCTCACGTGTGTTCCCATCTCTCCTCTGACACTGATACCAAGCTGGTGCAGGCCCTCATCACCTCATGCCTAGACTACCGCAATAAATAATCTGCTGGTTGATATTCCTGCCACAAGTGTCTCCCTCATTCCCATTCATCTCCACTCAACTTTCAAGGTGATCTTCCTAAAGCATAGGCCTGGCAATGTCACTCTTCCACCCCACCACCTACTCAAACTCCAGGGGCTCTTTGTCACCTCCAAGATCAAATATAAAATCCTCTGTTTGGTGTTCAAACCTACTTGTCCTCCAACACACACCTTTCCAGTCTTCTCACTCTTCTCTATGAACTCTGTGATCCAATGACACTGGCCTCCTTGCTGTTTCTCATACAAGACACTCTACCCCTTGACTAGGCATTTTCACTAGCTGTCCTTCATGTCTAGAATACTATCCCTCATCACCTATGCCTTCTGGCTTCCTTCAAGTCCCAGCTAAAATCTCACTTTCTACAGGAAGTGTTTCCCCATCTCTAATTCTGGTATTTTCCCTCTGTTGATTAACGTCCAATTTTTCTTATACATACCTTTATTATACATGGTTGTTTGCATATTGTCTCCCTTATTAAGACTGTGAGCTACTTGAGAGTAGAAACTGCTTTTTGCCTTTATTTTTATCTCCAGCACTCAGCATAGCGCCTGGCATATAGCAGAAGTTCAAGTCAATGTTTCTTGACTGACTGACCTGGACTATTGCCACACTCTTCTGCCTGGTCTCCCTGTCAAGTGTCTTCTCACTTTAATTCCTATGTTCAAGCTGTCAATGTGATTTTCCTAAAGTGTAGGTCTGACCATGTCACACAAATACCCCAAATCTCCATTCAATAAACTCCACTGGTTCACTATTACTTCCACGATCAAATATAAAATCTTCTATTTGGCACTTGAATCTCTTCACACACTGGCCCTTTCTTACACTTGACTCTCTGCTACATATTCTATGATCCAGCTGAACTGGCCTTTTATTGCTACTCCCCAAACATGACACTCCATCTTCCAACTTTGTACCTTTTCACTAGCTTGTCCCAAGCTTGGAATGATCTCCCTCTTCACCTCTGCCTCTTGTCTTCCTTCCAGATCTCAAAATTCCACTTTCTGCAAGAGGCTTTTCCTCATCTTCTCTCTTCCTCCCTCAATCCACCCTTATTATTCCATATTGTGCATACAATTTTTTTTGCACATTACTTTTCCCATTAGAATATGAGCTCCCTGATGGCAAGACTTGCATTTTTGCAGCTCTTTGTATCTCCAGTATATAGCACAATGCCCAATATGTGGTAAGTGCTTGTTGACTGACTAAATACATTTAATGAATCAACTTGTTTCTTCCATCTCAAATTTTTATTTTGTGGCCATATTTTGATGACACAAAGTACAGAAAAGAGCACAGAATGATGGCTTAGGAGTAAAAAAAAAAAAAAGCTGGGTTCAAGGCATACCTGTAACATAAGCTGACTGTATGATCTTGGGTAACTCACTTAACCTCTCAATACCTCAGGCAACCTCCTAAGATTATAAAGTATATAACAGTTGCTGAACTGAAATGGTAGAAGGAATTTCTAGCCAGAAGTTTCCTATACCAAATAAATGATAGGTCTACAATCCTTTCCCCCTCCAAAAAAAAAAAAATCCTTGATAGATAGTAAAGTGAAGAGGAATAATGTAAACATATTTGAAAGAATTAATCTTCCTTCAAAAGATAAATATCCACATAAATAAGTACAGTTTATCAAGCTCACCGTATTTCAAGGCAACCCAACTTCAAAGCAATTTCCTGGTCCACTTGATCAGCTATTTCTAACATATAGTCGTTTTTCACCTAGAACATATGAAGCAAGCATGTGTCATATAAAGAAATAATTCTTTTTAAAACAAAAGGGTTATACGCTATGACAGTAGATAACTATCTGCAACCACAGGAAAAAAAAAGATCAATTCAGAAATAATTTGGAAAAGAGACATTTATTTACAAAAATCATTCCAATTTACAACAAACAACTCTGAATTTAATGGAGGAAAATCATACAACTGCTCTGACTGGGTCTCCTACAAATTTATGTTCACAACCTCAAGTGGGCCCTCACTGTTGCTACGCAATCCTACTAATACCTTCCTTTATCAGCTCATTATCTCACTCTCAACAGCAGCTCTTCCAAACCTTTTCACCCCTCCTCCAACCTCCCAAGGTTCTCCCTCCCCCAGTTCTCTTAGCTGAGAACCTTACCTCATATTTTACAGGGAAAAAAAAAACCCTGATGTTATACACTGTGAATTCCTTCTTAGCCCTTTGTAGCTAAACTCCTTGAAACAGCCAGCTACAATACGTTCCTCCACCTTCTCTGCTCTCACTCTCTTAACTCCTTACAATCTAGCTTATCACCTTATCATTCTACTGAAACATCTCTTTCTAAAGAATGATCGCTTAGTTGACAAATCAAGTGATCTTCATTTAGCCTCATTCTCTTGACCTTTCTGCAGCCTCTGACACTGCTGATCACTCTTTCCTCTTTGATGCTCTCTTCTTTATAGGTTTTAGGGACACCATTCTCTCCTGGTTCTCCTTCTACCAATCTGACTATTCCTACTCTGCCTCTTTTGCTGGATCCTCTTTCAGATCATCCCCTCTAACCAACAGGTGTCCCACAATATTCTGTCCTGGGAGCATTCTTTCCTCTCAACTACTTCATTTGGTATCTCATCAGTTCTTATGAATTTAATTACCATTTCTATGCTGCTGATTCTCAAATCTACCTATCCTATCCCAAACTCTCTGCTAACTTCCAATCTTATATTTCCAGCTGTCTTTCACTCATCTCAAACTAGATGTTCAGTAGACATCTTAAACTCAATATACCCATAACAGAACTCATAATCTTTCCCTATAAACTGTCCTTACGTCCCGCTCCCCCCCTTCCATTATTGCTGAAAGCAACACCATTCTCCCAGTCCCTCAGTCTGACAACCTTGGACTCCTCCTGGACTCCACACTATCTTTCATGCCTGTATCCAAGCTGTTGCCAACATCGCTCAATTTTCCCTCTACGACATTTGTTGCATGTTTCTCCATCTTTCTTTTGACACTGCCACCTCTCTAGTGGATGCCCTCATCACCCCACATCTGGACTACTGCAACAGCATGCTGGTGGGTCTACCTGCCTCATGTCTCTCCTCACTCTAATCTATTCTCCATTTGCAACCAAAGTGATTTTTTTTTTTAGAAGCACAGGTCTAACCACATTACCCCCCCTGCCCAATAAATTCCAGTGGCTCCCTAATAACTCCAGTAACAAATATAAAATGCTCTGTTTGGTATTCAAAGCTTTTCATAATCTAGCCCTTCCTACCTTTCCAGTCTTCTTACACTTTACTTCCCAACATGTATTTTTCAGTCCAGTGACACTGGCCTCCTGAATGTTTCATGACACACCATTTCTCAGCTCTCAGCATTTTTCTTTAAGTCTCACTAAAATCCCACCTTCTATAAAAAGTGTACCCCAACCATTCTTAATTGTACTGTTTGCACATTGTTTCCCCCCTTAGACTGTAAGCTGCTTGAGGACAGAGACTGTCTTTTACCTCTTTTTTCTATTCCCTGCACTTAGCACAGTACTTGGCATACAGTAGGCCCTTAATATTTATTAATATGATTATAGGGCTTCACTTCATAATTGATTCTCACGCATCCTGCCTTAAAGGCCATAAATACAGAATGTCAACTATGTATTAGATCTCAGAAAACATCTCCTCCAGTCCCTTCATGAGATAGATTAGGAAACTGAGGCTTAGAAAGGCTAAGGGATTTGCCCAAAGTCACACAATTAATGAAACTGGCTAGGACTGGACTCAGACCTTCTGCCTCAGGGGAGGGGAACCTGCTGCTTCGAGGCCACACCAGATCTTCTAGGTCCTCAGGTGCAGCCCTTTGACTGAATCCAAACTTCACAGAACAAATCCCCTTAATAAAAGGATTTGAGTCAGAATCTGTCTCAAAGTCTTCACTCCTTCCACTATACCATGCTCTTTCTTCCATAAAGAAGGAATGTAATTCACTGCCTTTCATTGCTCAAGTCCATGACAAAGGACCCATTTATATAACCTTTTATAGTTTCAAAGTTTTGTTCCCTCACACAAACTATTTTGTTTCATCCCCACAATAACTCTGTGAGTTAGGCACAGAAAGAACTGCTATCCCCATCAAAGCTGTAAGGAAGTTGAGAGTCAAGAAGGATTACCTAGGATTACACAGCTAAAAGAGGCAAGGTTAGGGCCTCAAACCCTTGACACCAGGCTCTTTCCTGAATGTGAACTAGTTAAAAGGACTTTGATGATGTTAAGCTAAAAAAGTTTAGCAAGTCAATTTAAAAAGTCAAATGTTAATACAAATACAACCCAGCAGTTATTTTGTCATTCATTGCCCACTGTTGATTTATGCAAATTCAAAGAGGTACTATGCTAACCTCAATATGAATTCCATTTATTTTGAGGTGGTAAGGTTTGTTGGTGGATCTTTGAACTGGTACAGTCGTTCTAGAAAGTAATTTGGAGTAAAAGTATTAAACTGTGCATACCCTTTAACTTAGCACCACTACTACTAGGGCTATACCTCAAAGCAATCAAAGAGGCAAAGGACCCATGTGTACAAAAGTATTCAGAGCAACTCTTCTGGTCATAGCCAAGAACTGGAATGGCTGAAGAAATTATGATGTGTGGTTGAAATGAAATACTTTTATGTTATAAAAAAAGATGATGAAAGATTCATAGAAACCTGGGAAGACCTGCAGGATCTGAAGAAGAGTGAAGTGAGCAGTCAGCCAATAGGCATTCATTAAATGCCTACTAAGTGCCAGGCATGGTGCTAAATGCCGAGCCTATGAAAATAGACAAAGGGCAAGCCCCTACCCCAGAAAAAGCTCACAATCTAATGGGTAACAACAATAAACATGTGGAGAGGCACTAGAATTAAGAGGGGTTAGAAAAGGATTCTTGTAAAAGATAAGATTTTAATTAGGACTTAAAGGAATCCAGAGAAGCCAGTGGGAAGAAATGAGTGGGAGAGCATTCTGGGTATAGGAGGACAGCCAGAAAAAATGCCCAGAGCTGAGACATGGAACAGCCAGGTAATCAATGTCATTGGATTGAAGAGTATGTGGTATGGAGTAAGAAGACTAGAAAGGTAAGAGAGGGCTTCATTGCTGAAAGGCTTTGAACATTAAACAGAGGATTTTGTATTTGATGTTGGAGGCAATATGGAGTCACTGCACTGGAGTTTATTAAGTAAGGGGTGGGAGATGGGGTGACACTGTTGGACCTGCCCTTTAGGAAAATCAATTTGGTGGCTGAATGGAGGATGGATTGGAGTGGGAGAAAGTTGAGGCAGACAGACCCACTAGCAGGCTATTGCAATAGTCCAGGCAGGTGATGAGGCGTGCACAAGGGTGGCAGCAACATCAGAGGAGATAAGGAAGTGTTTATGAGAGATGCCGAGAAGGTGAACTGACAGGCCTTGGGAACAGACTGGTTATGGGGAGTAAGTGACAATGATAAGTTGAGGATAACACCCTAGGTTGCAGGATTAAGAGGATGGTGCTGCCCTCAATAGTAATAGGGAATTTAGGGCGGGAATAGGATAATGATTTATACAATAATAATATCATAAATATAAACAATTTTGAAGCAATAATCAACTATGAATACAGAGGAGCTATGATAAAAGATACTATCTCCTTACAGAGAGGTAATGAACTCAAGGTGGAGATTGAGACATATACTTTTGGACACTGGCAAATGAGGTAATTAATTTTGTTTGACTATAAATATTTGTTACAAGGGTTTTGGTTTTCTCCCCACAGTCTTCCAATAGTAGGGGGGAGATAGGAGGGAAAAGAAAATAGGTTTCTATTAATTTTTTAAAATTAATTTTTAACAAAACACGGTCGAATGAAATGGGTTTATATCATGTTAATACGTTAGTATGTTTTACTTTTTCTCAAAAAAAAAAAGCAAGAAGGATAAACAAAAATTAACTGAGTACTGAAAAACTTCTTGGGTAAACACACAAAATTATCTTAGTAAAAAGTTTTATTATCATGTTCAGATATTCCAGCAACTGTGTAGCTGATGAAAGAGCACTGAACAATGGCATCAGGAGACCTGAGTTCAAATTTAAAATCAGTTATTTACTAGCTGTTAATTTAGAACTCCTACCTTATTTACTCCTATGAAAGACAACATCATCCTGCCTCAGGATGAGAACTCAGGTTCTCAGCCTTGGTGTTATCCAGGACTCTTGCCTACCCTTCCCTAGTACCTTCCCTTAATATCTACTCTCTCCCATCCATATACTTACCAGGCAACTCTATCACAGAGAATAAGAGAAGAAAAACTGTCTAATGAGGTGCTGACCTTCTTGAGTGGGAGAATGTTACTTTCCCCAGAGTTCTCTACAGCCAAAGGAATCATCCACAGTCCTAGCCTCTATACATACCTTTTTTTTAAAAAATTTTTTTTCTATTTTTAAGCACTTGGGGTTAAGTGACTTGCCCAGGGTCACACAGTTAGTCAGTGATAAGTGTTTGCTCTGAGGCCAGATTTGAACTCAGGTCCTCCTGACTTTAGGGCCGGTGCTCTATCCACTGTGCCACCTAGCTGCCCTATACATATCTTTTAACTCTAAATTTAGTTCTCTTTCCACTACACCACCCTGATTCTATGAATCTTCGTCTCTTCGTCCATCAAATGAGGAGATATAAAGCATCACAGATTAATACCTTGAAAAGTCCTGAGAGGAAATCTAGCCCAAACCTCCAGGAGCATCAGAGA